CTTAATGCTTAAAGCCACATGACCAAAAGATAGATCCAAGTCCTAAAGAACATCTAGGACCATAAAGTCACTGACTTGGTGATTTTGCATGCCCCAAAAGGTCCCAACTTCAAGATATAGCATTTTACTTCCATAAAAAGAGGTAAAACTCATGCATAGGCTTATACAATTCTAAAGATGCAAACTTTATGAATCTAAAACCTCATAAACACCAAGAGGAGCAACTCAAAGCTTCTGGAGTGATCACAAACTACTAGACCTCAACTATGGGACCAAAAAGGGACTAAAATCCATTAAGACTTAGATATAAGCTTCTAATGAGCAAGGTTAGAGCTTTATACCTCAAATGGGCTGGAGACGGAGCAGAGAACCAAGATCTATAAGCTCCTGCTTGAACCACCACCTTGCACCAAACTTTTCTTCCTTGAATGAGCTTCAAAAACACACCAAAACACACACAATGAGCTCACAACACTCTTGGAGGCTCTAGGGTTTCGAGATTAGGGTTTTGGGAGTTATGGAGGCTGGAAATGAGTCCAACACCTGGGACTTAAGGTGTTTAAATACATATTAAACCCTTAAAATTAGGGTTTGAGTTTCACGCGTAAACGCCATGCGTTCCCCAAGGGAACACCCCACGTTCGAGCTCTGCCTCCAAAAGTCCAAACTTGGTAGAAAGGGTCCCTCCTCCCCTCAAGCTTGCAAAACAAGGCCAAAAAGCAAAAACCTAACATATAAGGGACCAAAATTGAATAATACCTGGATCGAGCGTTACAGGACCCCACTTAACCCAAACCTCAATTAGGGAAATGTGAATTCACGATTAGCATTTTCCAATCTCCATTCGTACACATCAGCTACAGAAACCATTGTCCATTGAATGCGACTCAATAATTTTTCTTCAATTCTTCTTCTTTCTCTGACCTCTGAATCTAATTAACTGATTTCATTCTTCAATCTTCATTCTCCTCATAACCGCATAAGCCATTACCAGTGATTCTCTTATTCCCGATTCTTCTTCCTTGCTCTGAATTCTGATCGATTCTATTTCTTGATTGTTCAAAAATCAAAAAAGTGGTTAGCTCCAACCTCCGTTGTTGATTCTTCTTTCTGAAAGGTTGTCAAGTGTCAAGAACTCAACTGATTTGGTGATTCCTGAATCCTGAAAGGCTAAATTCTTAAAAGCATGTTCTTCTTCCGTTCTTGTTCTTCTCCGATTCTTCCTCTGATTATCTATGATTGTGAACTTGTGATAAGCTGATAATTATCTATGATAAATTTTGTTATTTTGATGAAGTTAAATTTGCTTGATGTAGAAAACTAGAAATCTGTTTTTTATTTTCTTCACAAAAGAAAGGAATAAATCTGTTTTTTTGAACTTTGATGTAGAATAGTCTCAATTAGACTATCTATTAGGGTTAATAGGGTTTTTTTTTTTTTTTTTTTTTAATATTGACTGTGTTAAGTTGGATTTTGGAATCAAGTTTCTTATATGTTCAATTATCGGATTTTTTATTCCATTGTTCATTGATTACAATAGATTACAGAATATCAGGTTGGAACGAATTTGAGTTTTCAGTTTTCCATATTTGAGCTTTCCATTATCTCAGGTGCGGTATAATCCTAATCCATATCTTCTATACTTATAATAATTGTCTTGGTGATTGTTCATTGTTATAATTAATAAAATACTTAATAATCATGTCAAAGAGAAAATATGAATCAGAGGCTTTAAAAAGGAAAAGGAAAATGCAACAAGAAGCTTTTATAAAATCACAAAAAAGATCATTTTTAAAAATTTTAACTACAAACAAAAATGTTGATAATGAACAAGAACAAACTAATGTTGATAATGAACAAGAACAAACTAATGTTGATAATAATGCTCATGAACAAACTAATATCGAAAATGATAATGAACAAACTAATATTGATAATAGTGAAAATGATAATGAACAAACTAATATTGATATTGATAACGAACAAACTAATAGTGAAAATGATAACAAACTAACTAATATTGAAAATGATAACGAACAAACTAACTGAAAATGATAAAGAACAAACTAATATTGAAAATGACAACGAACAAACTAATCTTAAAAAGGATAACATGCCTTTAAACATATATGATCCAAGTAGATGGAATAATATTGGTACTAATTTAAGAGATTTAATTGTAGAAAAAAGTCATATTAATATTTATGATTTTAAATTTCCAAAAGATCAACATTTAAGAAGCTTTAGTACATCTCTTTATATGCAAAGAATCGCAAATGGAGAAAAATACGAACAAACATGGTTGGTTTATTCCATAGATGTAGATAAAGTTTTTTGTTTTTGTTGTAAATTATTTAATATGAATACATCTACATGTTCATTAGCACATAAATGTAACACTGATTGGAACAATATTTCTAGTATACTAAAAAGACATAAAGCAAGTAACGAACACATTAATATGAGGTCATGGATTGACTTACAAACATAAAACAATTGACAAGCAAATCCAAGAACAAATAAATAAATAAAAAAAACATTGGAAAAATATGTTAATAAAAATCATTTTTGTAGTAAAAACTTTAGGAAAAAAGAATTTAGCATTTCGTGGAACAAATGAAAAGATTTATGAAGAAATAATGGTACTTTTTTTTACTATAATTGAAATGATTGCGGAATTTGATCTTATTATGCAAGAACATATTAGGCGTATTAATGACAAAGAAATTCATAATCATTATCTTGGACACAATATGCAAAATGAATTTATTAGTTTATTAGGAGAGAAGTTAAAAGTAAAATTATTAAAAAAGTAAAAGAAGCTAAATACTTTTTAATAATACTTGATTATACTCCCGATATAAGTCATAAGGAACAAATGTCAATTATCATATGATGTTTAGATCTTTCAACAACTCCTATAGAAGTTAAGGAATACTTTCTAGAATTTTTAATTGTAGATAGTACAACCGCTAAAGGCTTATATGATGCTATAGTTGATGAAATTAAAAATATAGGACTAGATATAAATGATGTTAGGGGTCAAGGTTATGACAATTGATCTAATATGAAAGGAAAAAAATCAAGGTGTATATAAACGATTGCTAGATATTAACCCTAGAGTATTCTACACTCCTTGTGGTTGTCATAGTTTAAATTTAGTAATTTGTGATATGGCTAATTCGTATGATAAAGCTAGTGAATTTTTTGGAGTTATACGACGTATATATTCGATATTTTCTTCATCAACTCAAAGGTGGAAAATATTACAAGATAATATATCAAACCTAACACTTAAATCATTATCACAAACATGTTGGGAAAGTAGGGTAGAAAGTGTAAAAACAATTAGATTTCAAGCACCACAATTAAGAAATGCACTTTTACAATTATCCAAAAATTATGGAGATCCAAAAATTAAAAGTGAGGCTAAATGTTTAGCTACATATGAACTCTGAAAACTATGAATTTTTATTAGGAATGATTATTTGGTATGATGTTTTGTTTGCTATTAACACTGTTAGTAAAAGCTTGCAATTAAATGATATGTGTATCGATGATGCTATAGATCAACTAAATGAACTTTTGTGTTTCTTTGAACAATATAGAGAAAACAGATTTGAAAAGACTTTAGCTTATGCAAAAGAATTGGCTTTAGAAATGAAAGAAAAACGTAATTTCATGAAAAACGTATCATTTAAAGAAATAAACGATATGATGAAAATGTTGCTAATGAAACTATTAAAACTTCTCTTCAGTTATTTATAACTGATTACTTTTTATATATAGTAGATAAAACTATTATTTCACTTAAAAGTAGATTTGAGCTATTTAATGAGTTCAAAAGTATTTTTGGTTTTCTAATTATTATAAAAAAATTAAAATCATTTGATGAAAATACTTTAAAATAACATCGTTTAAATGTTGAAAAATCATTAAAACATGATGATAGCTTAGATATTGATGGTTTAAATTTATTTTATGAACTAAAACTTTTAAAAAATATTGTACATTTAGAGCATGATACAATTATTAATATACTTAATTACATTAAAAAGTTTAGTTCTTTTCCAAATACATATGTTACCTATAGGATTATGTTAACTATTCCTATAACAGTTGCCTCTGCGGAAAGAAGTTTTTCTAAATTAAATTTGTTAAAAAATTATTTAAGATCTACAATGTCACAATAAAAATTAAATGAATTAGCTATTTTGTCCATTTAAAAACATTTAGTAAAAAATTGATTATAAAAGTTTTATTAAAGAATTTGCATATAAAAAGACTATAAAAATTAACTTTATGTCTTAAGTATATTCACAAAACAACATATATATGAAAATTATTTTTTTTAACTCTGCAATTTATAAATTTTTTATTTATTATTGTCGGTCCCAAGCCTAGATAAAAGAGGAGCGTTTATAACATTAACTATATTAAATGTCAGAGTCCTAAATTTTTGGTTCGTTTAAAACCCAAACTGGTTAAGCCGCCCTTTGAAGGATATAGTGGGTTAGTAGGGTTTTATTGGGGGTGGGGTTATTTATTTTGAAAGGAAATTAGTTTAATAAATCCTACCTAATAAATGAAAATAATTTTGCCACTTGTCATCTTTTTATGCATTATGACACATGTCATTTTGTGGTAAATTTAGATTAAATTATATCCATGTGTCATTTTGTGGTTTTTTTTTTCATTTTGTTAAATTTCATATAATACTTAAATGTAATAAATGTAATGATAAATGTATATCCAATTCATTAATACAATTTTCCTTATAATTTCTAAATTTATAAATTAAATCTATTTATTTTAGTTGTTTATTTATTTAAATTATTAGTTTAAATTTAAAAGATAAATAAGCATTTCAATTTTAATAATTAAATATCTTTCTTTTTTTCTTATAAATTTAAATTTTCTATATTGTTAGATCTTCATGTTTTTTTTTTGGATAAACCCATGTAATAGATAGGTCTCACAACTAGTTATGATATACAAAAATGGATAGAAAAGTGAGTTTGTATGGTAAGGAATCAACTACACAAGAAAATAAAGACCACATCGACTATTATGTATTGTATAAACGTTAATGATGAACCTTGCAAATCTAAAAAGCACAGGGACTATTTATGTAATTTTGTCTTTTTAAGTTTTTAACTTTTCACCATAACCGGTTTGAACGCACACAGCAGACACATCTCTAGATCGTCCCTCCACCCCAGCTCCGCCACGTCGGCCATCCGCCTACAGCTCCGCCGCTTCGGCCCTCCGTCTACAGCTACGCCGTTCGTCCCTCCGCCTACAGCTCCGCCGCCTTGGCCCTACCCCCTGCTCACCCCGTTACTTTCTGATTAGGTATGTTCTGATTGCAACCCTAAATCTTCGATTAAACTATTACTACTGCACACTGTCACCATAACAGGTGTTAGATGTGTCTTGAACTAAATCTGTGTCTCCGTGATTCCATTAAGGTTAACTGTCAGGATACATCTGAATTGCTTCTTCTACTTCGATTTTAAACGCGTTTTCTTTGCAAAAACCCTATACGATAATCAATTGGAGCTTCTTAAATATATAACTCAGAAGAACTGTTCTTGAAGTAATCTTGATTTGTTCACATATGTTTATGATTCAGGAACTTGTAATCATGAGTGGATTACAGACACAAGACTTCCCTTCTACATTAAGATTAACAAAAGCAACAAAAGATGTTAATTTTATTGCAGAACCTGAATCAAAGCCAAAGAAGAAAATCTGTTGTGCTTGCCCTGACACTAAGAAACTCAGGGATGAATGTGTTGTTGAGCATGGTGAATCAGCTTGCTCAAAATGGATTGAAGCTCATCGATTGTGCCTTCGTTCTGAAGGCTTCAATGTATGAATTCAAATCACAGATATCAAATAGAAGGAGAATATTTGGGTTTTAGTTTTCATGAACTTATGCATCAAGCAAATCCAGAATAAATGATTTTTTATTGATTACGTTATTGAGTTACAAAAAGGTAGATCCTTTTTTTGATATGTTTTTTTTTTGATATGTTTTGTTGTTTTGCACACTATTGAATATTGATTGAATCTTAATAATAAACACAGAGTAAGTGTTCTCATTTAACCATGAATCATGTACACATATGTATGAGCATCATAGAACATAACCATGGAGTTTTATTGGATCATAGACTAACATTAGCTATTAATGGATACACACTTGCAATTGTCATCTTTCTCATTTGTGGTAACTTCCATTAGAATACTCTCCAAACTGCTGCAAATGAATAAGAAAAATCGTAATTTTTTTTTTTCTGATAAGAAAAACAATTTAAGCTATGAAAGTACCTTTTTCTGAGTGTCGAATATGATAATACCATACCCGTTTCCTTTCTTGCTGCGATTAAAAAAGGGTAATTTGGTCAGAAAAATACGTTGTAAAAGTAAATTGACAATAGATATAAGTATACACATTTTTTAAAATATGGTTAATGTCATAAAATAACAACCAATAGTGTCTAGTTTGTTGTTTGGGTTCTGAATATTAATCGAGTAATTCTGTCACACTGAATGTCACAATGAACGCCACATAGGATTCAATACCAGTTTACCCCCATTGAAATCCACGTCAATGGTGTAATGAAAACTAAAATTCTGTTTATTGGTGTATCACGTAAAACTAACTAAAAGATAGTGACACAAAGAGTAAATTGAAAAAGTACTAATGATTGTCATTTTATGACATTAATAACCTTTTAAAATACACATGCTTACATGCAATTCCATGAAGACATGGATAGTAATATGAAGTGGAAAATGGGGGAACTGTGAATTGCTATATCTTTAAAGCTTATACATGGTTTGATATTTATAGATGTTGAGGAGTCATTGGGACCAATGAAAGCCATGATGGAATCTGCCTATTTGTTGCTTTTTAAGCATATATGCCTTCTAAAATTAACTTTTTTTTTTGTAGACATTTACGTTTGAGCATATATTCCTTTTAAAATTAACCTTTTCACAATACCACTTATTATTTTTTTTGGAACGACATACGTATTGGTTCATGTGAAATTGGTGGCTAATTAGGTGTTTCCTTAGTTTTTGGCTAATTTTAAAAAATGTCTAAACGAAATGGTTAATTTTTGTGTTTTTCTCTTACTCAAAAGAGTTTTAAATAATGAAGCTTATTAATTAATTTTGTGTTGGGATAGTTGATTAATAACAGGCTTGAGGGAATTAAAAAGTTAAAAAGTCCATACATTTTAACATACTATATAAGGAAGCCTTTTGAGCGATAAGAAAATTAATCCAAAACTCCAATTAGAAAATTAATCCCCTCTTGTCGATGTTGATTTCATCAAGAACAAAGAGAAGATGGTGGCTTTGCTTGTTCGTTGATTCAATAAATCAAAATCAACATTCTTGATGTCTATTCAGGGTCATCAATAAATCGATCAAGAAACTATTTCTTGAAACCCAAAATGATTATGTTAGTTAGCTTTAATGATTTAGTTGGATCTATGCTTCAGGGAATTCGTTTTTGATAATCTTTTAATTTTTCCGTTGTATTTTAATTGTTTTAAGCAACAAAGAATTCTCAACAGTTGTGGTATTGCAAGTTTGCAACCACTTTTAAAATTTTATATTACCATTTGAATTTCTTGATGGGTCTTAAAGTAATAAATTTTTTTAAAGTTTTAAATATTATTGATATTTGTACGTTTAATGACTTAGTTTAATTTTTGCATGTTCTGTATTTTTTTTCTTCCAAAAGATGGACAGTTGTGGTTTTGATTTAGATTTAAAAAATCTAGGGTATAAGAAATTTGTCAAATAATATCGATACAAAACTATCTTTTACTATCGGGGTTTTATTCTTTTTTTTTTCTTAATTAAACAATAGTAAAAAACGATCATTAGAAATATGATTTTTTTTCTTTTTATAACCAAAACTGTTGAATCATATGTAGATCAATATTTTCGAAATATGTTCTTTTTAGAATTGTTTCAGACCAACTATATGCAAAATCAATTTTTTTTTTAAACAAAAAACTATATTTTGCATTTTGGAGACAAAAGACTATTCAGAATTCTTAAGAACAAATTCGAATATTCAAGAAAATCCTTTTTTACCGGAATTATAAAAAAAATTAAAAAAACAATGCAAAAACAAAATATTTTGACATAAGCGGAGCAATTTAGTAAAAAAAAAAGGGTGAAAAACTATGCATTTCGAATTCAATTGATACAAATATTCAAAAATATTTGATACAAATAAAAAAAATACATATTAGTATATTTACTCAAATCTAAAATACATATTTCAGATTTAATGATTAGTATTATGATAAACTAGTATTTGAGCTCGTGCTTTGTTGTGAGTTCTTATGTGTGGTTTTTCTCACGTATTAGACAAATAGTTGTTAGATTCATGTATACATGTATTTATTTAAAAAAATTAAATATAAATGTCTAAATATTTGAAAAAAAATTAATTTATAAGAGAAATAAGAAAAATATTGAATTATTAAAATTAAAGCGTTTTTTATTTTATAAATTTAAATAAATTATTTTGATAAATAAATAATGGAAACTAATGAGTTTTAATTTAAGTATATTTTGAAATTAAAAGGTTAGTTCATTAATGAAACTGTTATTCATTTATTATTATATTTATTGTAAATATTACATTTAAATACGAGAAATTAAATATTCTCATACCTTTTGTTTCTATTTATATTCCTATGACAAGTGTCATATTCGGATAATATTGATTACATTTTAATACACTTGTCATAATTTCAAATGGGTAGGAAGATAAGTAGGAAGAAAAGTAGGAGGATATTTAATTTCTCTTTAAATACTATGTGAAATTAAATAAATAAAAAAAACCATAAATAACATGTGAAAAAGAAATTAATTTAAAATAACCACAAAATTATATGTGACAATGTTGAGAGTGTGACATATGACAAAAGATCTTTATTTATTAGAGTAAATGAAAATTGATTAAATAAGTATAGCATAAGCTTCAAAAAAACACTAAAAGTTTCAAAAAAATGAGGGTTGGTTGACTTATCAAAAGTTGAGAAGAGTTGGAGAATATTTTTGTAAGTTGTATGGTTTTTGAATAATCCATAAAAATATAAGGGCATAAGTGTAAAAAAAATAGTAAACATGAAAAAAGTTTAGAAACCGAAAAGATAAAAATGACGTCTTATAAAATTAAATAAAAAATATCATTTTACAAAATAAAAGATTATAAATGACATATTGTATAAAATTGAGGGATATTTTACGTATTAACACATACACATTAGTTGGTTATATATTAGTATATTTATAATAAATTAATAAAAATTAGATATTTTACCGTGTCTTCAATTTATTTATTTTTAATTAACCCGATTTTATTGGATTTTAAATGCAAATTCTTAAAACGTAAAAACCTTTTTGAATGCCACAAACCAAACACCAAACGCACTATAATTGTCTCCGTCAAGGTTTGACGATGGGGAAGAAAGTCCAGGTTTATTGCGGGAAATTGAGACGTAATTGCTAACGATCGAAGAATAAAAACCCTAAGAAAAAAGGGGTTTTCGTTGAATTTTACATGTTCCCCAATTTCTGTTGATGTTAATACTGCCGATAAATGGAGTCGCCTGCGGTAGGAAAATGCATCCCTCACAAGTCAAAGTAAGATCATTTCTCCCTGAGCAGATAGAATTTAACAGGGGTTTATGCTTTATCTATGATGTGTTTATATGTGTGGTTTTATTAGGAAACGAGTATTTCCAGAGAGTTCTCCGGGCACGGAATCCAAAGGAGATGCATCTTCTTCACCTGTTAATCGGACGCTGAAAGGCAAGAACACGATGCATAAACAAAACGAGGTAAGAATCAGATCAATGCCTGTTTTCTGTTTCTGTTTCTTCATCATCCTTTTCAATCATTCTTCTTGTTAAGCATATGTAGAAGTAATCATACTTTTTTTTTTTAATTCCTAGGATACTATGGTGTCGATCTTATCTGGGATTTCAAAGAAGGTAAAGTCACATAACAAGGGGATTATTATCTCACCAACTCTTAGTGGCATAATTGAGCTAGATTCAGAGGACTCTGATTCCTATAATGGCAAAGATTACATAGATTTGTCTTCTGATCACCATGATTCCGAATATGAGTACCCAACTTTCCAATCTCATTTTGATAACATAGATTTTTCCTACCGGAATGGAATCCTCCAATCCATGGTTTCTGGATTCTGTCAAGATCACTTCCTCAACTGGATTCACACACTCTACACACCCTGAACATGCAATGCTTTCCCCATCAATGGTAGGGGTAAAACCGTCTTTTGACCCTGTTAAAGTCACAAAAAGAACATCTGGTTCAAGTAGTTCCACTTGTCCTACTCTACGCTTACAAAAGGGTGCAATGAAGGTTAAATCTGTCAAGAAACGGGTCAAAACTCAGCCCCACAAAATGTCAATTAATTCAAGACAAATTACTCCTATGGAAGATGTGATGTTGGAACAAGATTCTAGAAAGATTCAAAAGAGCTCAAATGTAGAGGAAACTTCCTCTCAAGTTTTGAGAAAGTATCCGAATTTTAAGAAGTTTGATATTGTTGAGGACTATTCTGATCATCACTATAAAGGGGCAAATTCGGAAACAATACAGCCCCCAAGAAACTGGTCTAAAAAGATAGAAAAAGAATGGAGGATTCTTGAGAAGAACTTGCCTGGTATGTTGTTTCTAGTTTTCACAACTTATTTTCATCCATTTGGGTTGAATTAAATTCAAATTCTCGTTATTTGTTTAATTACAGATACAATATTTGTTAGGGTTTATGAATCAAGAATGGATCTTTTAAGAGCAGTGATAATAGGAGCAGAAGGGACACCATATCATAATGGTCTTTTTTTCTTTGATGTTTTCTTCCCTAGCAACTATCCATATGTTCCCCCTGTATGTCACATCACATCACATCTCTTCCTTTTTATTTTAAATTTAATTTCATGTAAAAAGATTTAATGACTGATAATTATTATTATTATTATCAGAAAGTTTATTATCATTCTGGTGGGTTGAGAATTAATCCGAATCTCTATGAAGAAGGGAAAGTTTGCTTGAGTCTTTTGAACACGTGGATTGGTGACAAGAATGAGAACTGGACACCTGGCGTTTCCACTATGCTACAAGTTTTGGTATCTATACAGGGTTTGATTTTGAATGCGAAACCCTATTTTAATGAACCTGGATTTGCAGATTCAAGTGGCTCTGATTATGGAGAAAATCAATCGATTCTATACAATGAAAGGACTTTGATTTATTCTCTTAAAACTATGGTTTACACCATGAAAAATCCACCCAAGGTATGATTGACAAGCTATTTTTGATGACGAGGGTATTTTAGTCTTTTTGATATTTTAATGTCGATTTTGGATGCAGTATTTTGAGGATTTGGTGATTGGGCATTTTCGTGATTGTGGGGTTGGTATTTTGACAAGATGTAGAGGTTATGTTAATGGTGTAGGAGTTGGATGTGGTGAAGAGAAGGGTTCACGTGGATTTGGGAAAAATGTTGAAAAGTATATGGGGACACTTGTTGGGGGATTTAAAGAAATAGGAGTTGAGAATGTGGACGAATTTGTCCCCCAAACTCGAAATCTAGCACAAAAGATAAGGGACTTTTTTGGTATTTAAGAGTGATATACTTATAATAATTGTGTAAGTATAACCCTAGGTTGTGGTCTATAACCTAAAACATAGGTTATAAAGATTTTAAGTTGTGAGTTTGAGATTTTTTTTTTTAGCTTTGAGGTCTTTTTTGTAAATAGGAAGAGACTTTTGGAAAATGGCAATTGACTTTTGTAGTTTTGATGGAAAATGATGACTTGGACCAACTTCGATTTTAATACTAAAACATACAATGTGTGTAAAGTTCTTACTAATACTAAATCTCTTTTGAATTACATTTACAACCACATACCAAATCGTTTAGGGGTGGTTTGATAGTTGTTGGGTTAGAGTTGACTGGGTTAGAAGCTGATTGGGTTAGAAGTTTTAACTGTGTTAACTTCTGACTAAAGCTTGTTTAATTTTGCAGACTCACTAACATCACCAACTTCCATTTTACAACATGTTTTCCCCATTTTAGATAAAAAGCAATAAAAATCATAATTATAATTACAAACTATGAAGACACATTGCTATTGGTTTTTGTCGAATAAAAAAAAAGGTAAACTGCTATATATTGACCTTTGGAACTTTTTGGATTTAAATTAAAAGTAAAATTCTATAAAGTGAAAGTAAAATATTATAATTTTAAAGTGAAATTACAAAACGTTATCTAAATTAGAAGGGAGAAATGAGAACCCTCTTCCAAGTGGGGTACAATACATAAGTACAAATTTATGCAACAATTGTTGATTCTTTATACCAATCATCTTCCTTGTTGGATTTATATTTTCAATTCTATCAAGAAATTTAAACATTTTCTTCGACCCTTCATCTAAAATACGAGAGATATCACATAAATATGTATTTTGAAAGTAATAATGTGATATTAAATTATACAAAAAATAAATAGTAAAAGGTTTACAAAATCTTGGAATGTTATGGCCTTTAGGATGATAATCACCATGGGATCCTCAATTGGTTTTAAAAGTTCACCTTTTGGAGTGCACCTCCTACCAAAAGTAGGAGACCCAACATTGGTTTTAAAAGTTCACATTCTGGTTTTAAAATTGATTTCAGAAAGAAAAAAAACAACACAGAATGCTTACGTGCTCTATTGTGGAGGTAAAAGCAATTGGTATGGGGCATATTGCATATCAACAACACCTACACCTTGACCACCATTTGCTCGTTAAGGGGGTGTTAAGTCATTTTCGGTTGTAACGAGCACAAGAGAAAATGAACAACTTGATTGGCCACTCCTTTTTGAACATTAATATGACCATTTGCATATAAAAAAATTATTTACTTTTTTTTACCTATAATAATGAGTGTTATAACATGTTAATAGCATGATAACCTTTTTCTCACTTGGTGTTATAACACTATTGGTGATGTGACATGTGAGGTGACACCAAAATGGTATTATAACATGTTGCCCACACCCAATGCTCTAAACGATGGCAGATGAGGAGAAGGTGCCGAGGTCGCCAGAAGGAGGACGAATTTCAGTTAACTGATTTTAGAAAAAAAAAACACAAAAAATATTACTTACCTGTGCTGCTGGGATGTCGACGATGGCAGAGGATGAACAGGTGTCGATGTCGCAGTAGGGAGGACGATATTGGAAGGTTTCTAATGTCGTGGAGTCTTCAATGAAGACGCAAGAAAGAAAGATGGTGCTTGCACATTGACGCGTTTGTGGTTTTTCTTTTAGGGCTCAAGGGCAAAAAAGAAAGATGCGCTTTTTTGTGGGTCAACAACAAATAGATGGAAGATCGAGTAAGAGCACCGGTCAGCTAGACTGAGAAAGCTAAGTTTCAGCCCAACCAAACAGCCTAGCCGGATCGAGTCAGCCAAAATTTACTGACCGAGCCCGGTCAGCTTGTTATCAAACGACTCCTTACACTATAAATATATTTTATATAAATTTTAGTACAATAATTATACTAATTATAAAACGATAATAATATGTTAATTTAATATTATATTGATCAAAAATTGGTTTATGTGTACCGACCCGAAAATCACAGTAAATTTTTTCATTTTTAATACAAGAGTTACAACCATCACATTGTTCCAAAAAACCATCACATGATAATAGTGTCAAAATATCAGAGTACAAGATCAAAAATGTGGAAAATAGTGAGGAGTGAATGCTGAGCCATCAAGCCGGGCCCTTCCTCTTAGTACCGGAAGTACCTGAAACCACAAAGACAAACTATAAGCAAAAGCTTAATGAGTTTCCCCCTACGTACCACATACACATAACATACAAGTGCCATGGGTCACCCCCATGTTTTGACATCCAAATGTCATGGGCTACCTCCATGGTATTTCCTTGAAAAGCCATGGGTTGCCCCTATGGTCCAACATCCAAGTGCCATGGGCTACCCCGATGGTCTTTCATGCAAATGTCACGAGCTACCCCGGGGTATTCCAGGCAAGTATCACAAAGACAACTAGCATTCCACATAACAAGTAATGGGCCGACATTGGTGCCTTCGACTTATGGATATAGTGAGAAAACTCACCTCAGTCTGCTGTCATTCAAATAAACGATAAGGCTGCTGAACCGGTAAATCTTCACGCTAAAATAATCAAATAAAGATCCCAATCAATACCCGGGCCATAAGCCATGACTAGGAATCTAGTTCACTTGTCCAACACCCAGAGTAAAATACCATTTTACCCTCCCCTCACTTGGCCCACTAACCTAGGCCCAGTCCAATGGCTCCAAAATCTCAGTATGACCCAAAATCCTTAGCGACACCCAAAACCCATCATGGGCCCAAAAGGGGTCCAAATCCAATGAGGATCAAATCCTAACAATGATCCATAGTCAAAAGGGCCAGTGGCCTATCATATCCCAAAATCCACATTGATCCAAGAACCAAAAATCGATCCATTGGGCATCTGTGAGAACGCCTGTCGTTCGACCTAGGACGCCTGGCGTCCAAACGCTCGGTGTTCTTTGGCAAACGCCTAGCGTTTGCTCGCTGGATCTCAACTTCTCATCCAATGACTTAATGACTTAAGATATCATGACCGAACTTCAAATCCAATTCTATTGAAACGTCTAAAGCCATAAAGTTGCTAACTTTATGGCCATGCATGGCTACAATGAACCCAACCAAGATCCTAACTAAAAGTCCACTAAAAGGCTCCAAAACTCTTGCATGAATGATTATGAAGATCTAAGATCATATTTTTATGTCTCAATACACCTCAAAACGTCCAAAACGACAGCCTATACACTCAAGAGTATGCTATACTCATAAAGGCTAAGACTTGGGACCAAAATGCTTCAAAATCCAAAGGCTAACAAGATCTAATGAATTACAAGTCAAGATCAGGACTTTATACCTCCTGGAGGTTGCTAGGATGATGAAGATCCCAGATCTAAAGCTTCTTCAAGCTTCCAAGCTTCACCACCACCTTCTTCTTCCTTTGGAACACACAAAAACACACACTAAAGCTTCAAAATGCAACAATGGGGCTAGGGTTTGCAAGAGGGGTCGTTCTAAGGATGTAGGCTGATGAGAGAAAGGGTTGGGGACCTTAAATTTCTATAAAGAGGGTGCAAACCCTAAAGATTAGGGTTTAGTCTCTGCGTACAAATGGCTGGCGCTCCCCATAGAACACCTGACATTTGAACGCCCAGCGTCCAATGCCAAACACCCGACGTTTGGACCAAAATGCCAAAAATTATTGTAACATGGTTAAAAGTGCATATACCTAAAATCCAAGATGTTACAAATCTCCTCCACTTGAATCAGACTTCGTTATCGAAGTCCGTTGCTGCAAACAAGCCTGGGTAGTGCTCCTTCATCTCATCCACCGGTTCCCATGTCCACTCGGAGCCCTTTTGGTGTTGTCAATGCACCTTCACCAGATTCACCACCTTATTACGTAGAGTTTTGGTTTTCCTATCAAGAATCGCGATCGGCCTCTCCACGTAATTCAGGCGCTCATCCACCTGAATATCATCCAACGATATCACTACTGAATCATCGGCTACACACTTCCGCAACTGAGACACGTGGAAGATGTTATGGATCTGACTGAGCTCAACAGGGAGATCCAGTTTATATGCAACCCTGCTCACTCGAGTTGTAATCCTGAAGGGACCGATAAACCGGGGGCCCAAATTTCCTCGCTTCTGAAACCGGATGACAACTTTCCAACGTGACACCATCAACAGTACCAAATCTCCCACATGAAACTCGAGGTCCGAACGACGTCGGTCAGCATAACTCCTCTGTCGACTCTGCGCAACCCGCAACCTGTCACGCACCTGCTGAATCAATTCTGTGGTCTTAAGCACCACTTTCGTGCTTCCCATGACACGATGACCAACCTCACCCCAACAAACCGGGGTCCTGCACCTTCTCCCATACAACATCTCAAATAGTGGTCGGTCAATACTAGCATGATAACTGTTGTTGTAAAAGAACTCGACTAGTGGAAGGTAAGTATCCCAACTCCCTCCGAAATCCAACACACAAGCTTGAAGCATATCCTCGAGCGTATGAATCGTCCGCTCGCTCTGACCATCGGTATGAGGGTGGTATGTTGTACTAAAATGAAAATGTGTACCCAACTCCTCATGAAACTTCCTCCAAAACCTGGAAGTGAAACAGACATCCTGGTCCGAGACCACTGAAACTGGCACCACGTGGCCGAACCACCACCTCCCGGACATAAATATCATCTAACTGCTCTGCGGATATGTTCTCTCCAATTAAAGATGAAGTATGCACTCTTGGTCAATCTATCCACGATGACCTAGATAGAGTCAACACCACACGTCATCCTAGGTAACTTTGTGATGAAGTCCATGGTGATCTCCTCCCACTTCCACATGGGAATGGGTAATGGCTGCATCTTGTTGTGGGATCTCTGGTGCTCGGCCTTGACTTTCCTGCAAGGCAGACACTGCTCAACAAACCAAGCTACCTCCCTCTTCATGTAGGGCTACTAATAACTCAACCTCAAATCTCGATACATTTTTTGTGGCCCCTGGATGGATAGAAAAATTCGATTTATGCGCCTCCTCCAAAATAGTCTGCCTCACCCCACCTGATGCCAGAACCCAAACCCTACCACACTGTGTCAACAATCCTCGACTGTCTATAACGAATAAAGGAATCTGCCCTCTAATCTGCTAGACCTTCCAATTTTCCCTTTTCAGTCCTTCCACCTGAGCCTTCTTGATCAAATCCATCA